TACAGAGATTCATTAGTGAAAATAAATATAATATAAGGCTTTTTTTTCTTAAGAAATGTTTGATAACTATCTGAACATTATAAAGATTTTGCATGTTAAATTTGAAAATCTTCTGATGCATAAAACCATTTTTAATCTTAAAATGAAAATTACTTCGCATGATAGACTGGCAACATGTGAAAAGAAAAAAGGCATGAAAGAAACATTGCTTTATAAACCTTAAGGCTTAATAAAAAAAAAATATTTTGCATCTTAAAGAATTGTAATGTTTAGTGATAATCTGCCAAATTTTGCTAACATTTGCTTACTAATTTAAAAATTATAGCATGAAAGCTATAACAAGCACAAAATGGTTACGAGGTTGGTCCTAGGGACCAAGTCTGTGCTGAAAGAGTTAAGACATATTTACCAATGTAGACTCAAACCAAATGTCTACCACTGGCTCAGCTGGCAAACATTAAATGTGCTTGAGCCAGCCACAAGCCAAGAAATGGCTGCAAAGACTTATGCATGAGTCAGACATCATGTGTGCATTAGAGCATGGATATGTTTAATCAAAGTTGAAAAAATTAAGAGTGTGCCTAACAAGAAGTGGACAATTCATATCGTCTGATGAGTGGAAGAACAAGATTTGTGTCAAGGACAAGTTTTACCATTATATTTTGTCTGCCAGACATATACTTTTTTTTATTCAGTTATTTTTTAATACAACTCTGAAGTTTCTATGTCATTGCCACCACGTCATCACCATTAAGACTAAAACAGCAGTGGTGCACATAATATATATATATATATATATATATATATATACTGCACTATCATTAGTAACACAAAACCATAAAAACATACCTTCTATTTGATACATTATGATTGTAAGTATGAAACATAAAAACAACTCACTGAAATATTCAGACTCAATCCTGAATGGAATGACAACCATGTCTCAAACCCTTTACTTTGGTTTCAGCAAAAAAAAAAAAAAAAATACAGGGATAAAGTGGGGAGTATTACAAACAAACTGTCAGTAGCAGAAGGCAGTCTTCTGCTACAGAAAACAAAAATATGATAAAAATAATAGAAAAAGAGAGTTAAATCTAAAAAAAAGCTAGTTCAAAGAAGAATCAGTCTGCAACATGTATTGTGAGATTTGCCTGAACTATTTTATAATAGAAGTTAGTCACTCTGGAATGGGAAAGAATGCTTTCTTGAATGGATGTGATCAGAACCATATTTAGCCAGTCAGAGCCATGAAACCAGAAATGCTCACATTGCATGTGAATTGTGTTATCAAGAAATGAAAAAACAAAAAAAATACAGATAATGTTACTATGATCACAGTGAGTTTTCTCAGTTCCACAGATCAGTATAGGGGGTAATCCCTTGTTGTGCAGGCAATGCACAAACTAAAATACGTAGAAAAGAAACAATTAACAGTGTTGTGTAACAATCCATATTCAATTGCTAAACAAAATAAACCTCTATCAGACATGCAGATCAATGGAAAAGTCTAGTGTAGATGTAAGAGATAATTACACCAACAGAAAGAAAGCCTCTGAATTTATTAGGTGTGAAGCAGAAGTCCTTGGATGTGACATAAAGGAAGTAGTTAGTGAAGTAAAGCTTTGGTTTATCTGGCCCGCCAACAGTTTATTAAAGTAATAATATAATTTTTTTAAATTACAAAAACAAAAAAATAAAACATAATTGAGCAAAAGCCAATCTAGTTGCAATAAGGCCCACCAACAGTTCATTAAAGTAATATAATGATATTATTTTCATTTTATTTTTAATGGTATATAAAATAAAACGTAATTGAGCAAAAGCCAATCTGATCATGTATGCATCCCTATCTAATTTTACCACAACCCCTCC